TCCTCGTTCCCTTCCAACTCGCACTCCTTATCATTATCTGTTCTACTTCCTCCAGTCTCTCATAACTCGTTAACAATCTTAGATTTAGATTTTTACCTCTTCATCATCGACAGGGAGGTCGAACGGTGCGGGACGCTAACAGCGATTTAAATGGGTTCTCGCATGCCTGGATTAAACACTCTCCGGGTCATTTTTCGAATATCTCATTACAGTATTCGTGGTGGTTATTCTGCGTCTTATATGTGGAGTATTGCAGTGCTGCTATGGAGATTTCACTTCGTCAGCACACTCCTTGATGAAATCCAAAGCAATGTTCGTCTGTTCTAATCCGGCGTTAAGTCCCATTTAATCACTGGGCACCTCAAGCACCATGAAATCCTCGGATCTTCGTAGGTTGACAAAGCTTCCCATTGAGTCCCTTTCTGGAAGACAGGATGATGATGATTTTCAAAAGGTTCCCATTAGGCCTATAAGGTCGGGCAGATAGTGGAAAATTTTTGGATGGACTTGGACGGGTTTAACCGATTTCCAGCTTGTTGGGGAGACCGAATTGCGCTGATGGCAAGCCATCGCATTCGTGACGGTGTGCATCCAGATGTCACAGCTCTTTCATTCTACCGCCGTCTTCTGGAAATAAGTAGCAATGGCTTTAACGTATGCGGCTGAAGGCAACAGAGAGACGGGCCATCGAGTTAGATGTCAAATACTTATTTTGACCAGCTCGCAGTTTGATAAAGGCTTCTGAGGAGATACGAGGAAAGTGCGACACGTGCAAACTGATCGATAACGCATTTGAAAGGCACTGCGGCGTTTTCTCCTGAAATAGCCCTTCGACTGGCAACTACATTCAGCATGTAAGTCGGAAATTTGTCTTAGGTGTACGCTGCTGTTTTGTCGACTGCCCCTCGCTGTGAGGGTAATTTAGTCTCCAGCGACCGCTTGTGCGGAATCCGGGTCCGACAGTAATTTTACCTGGAGTATATATAGTCGCGTATCATGTGTCCTGCTTTTGCATCTCCTCGACTGAAGTCGTGTTTGAAGTACTACTGGAAGATTTGTGCGGGAAATATTGCACACTTGTGTGGTGGCACGCAGCAGACCCGACAGCCACTGCGTCCAATCCCTTAAACTCTAGTGGACAAGGTCTGACAGTCGACTGTAGCATGGAAGAGGGGAGAGAATGGGAGGTCGAAAGTGAAGAAATCACCCGTGCGGCACACATGGACGGGCTGTCCGGTTTTTCCAGTCCACTTTCAGCGCCTTGACATTGTTTTGTCATGGGAGCCAGATGGATGTGGAGGGAGAAAGTGAAATGGACGCTGTACAAGTCTGGCTCATAATGAACCAATTAACAGGCAAGTATTCGGGACTCTGCCTACTCCGTGGGGCATACGACCGATGTCAGTACTAACGACGGTTTAATTGTCTTCGGACTTAAAGAGATGAGGTAGAAATCCAGTCCTGCCACATGTACATCAGTAAGGATTCGTATTTGAGCTGCCCGAGTTAAACAGCAGGGAGAAGTCAGTCTCTTGATGGTTACTCTCCTTCAATTTCGCCGCTCAAATCCGGCTTCACTGCTTATCTCTGCGACCTTTTTTGACTCCTTCTCACGCGCCTTTGGCTTTCCCCAGTAACCTTCTTCCCTTAGTTGCCCTTCCATCCCTTCTCTTCCCTGCTCCTCATCTTTCTCCTCCTTCCCTTCCAAATTGCACTTCTTATCTCCATTCATTCTATTTTCTCCCGCCCCTCCTACTTCCCCTCAACCACCACCCCTAACAACACCAACTTCTCTTCGTCTTCGTCTTTTTCCACTAGAACCGACGTGGAGTCGAGCCTCTGGTCATGTTTTCTGCTTGTCTAAGTCGTCAAATGAGAGCCATTTGAGGACTACATGCTGTCACCAGGGAGAAATGGGTAGTGTTTTGGAAGAGGAAACTGCGTTTGCTCTACAGACTGCAGTCCGGACATGGCTGTTGGAGTGTTTAGCCGATGGGGTGTCGTGGTACAGTGGTGCTTCAACTAAGCAATCAAGATTGTCTAGCGTAGATGCATAATGTAACAATTTCACATTCTTATCCCAAGTTGATCTCCTGGATTGCTTTTTTCTCGGCTGCTGATTTGAACAAACAGCTGTCGATGCCTCTGGAATCCATGCGGCATTCAAGGGATACCAGTGTTGTCATTCTGCCTTTTGCCGGCTGTCATCCTATTCCGTGGTTTTTGCCAGTTCACTTCTGTGAGGTTGTCTAAGGTTTCGTGGTCTAAACAGATGGCATTGTGGACAGTTGCCGCTCAGAGGACGTAGGCCTCGCCAGATTCCATTGCTGCCTGAGACAGCAGTGCCTGATTCTGTACACATTCTGATGTCTTCCATCTGATCTACTACTCTGGCCTTTGTGTGTTCATTATTGAGCTAAATTTGCACCCACTAGAAACGCAGTCAACTACCTACGTTACGGCGAAAAGTGGCCAAAGTTGTGTGCAGACGAAACGATGACGGTTAAATTTCGAAAATCTGCCATATTTTTTCCCATGATTCAAGGATGGTTGAAGTTACGTGGGCGGGGTTTTGTTCCTCTGAACAGCTGGACAAATATAGGGATCATCGAAGGGTCAGTCTAAGTCACAATTGGACATATGCCTTAATCGCGTCGCTCTTACCGATAAACGTGACCTTTTCACAAAAGAGAAGTCCGCGAATGGAGAAAACATTTTTTTACGGACGTGAAGTGCACAACCGTCTGGAAGTGGACTCTGGTTGGAGTACGTATGAATGTGTGGAGATAAGTCGGTTCGAAACGTCAGGGCAGGCTCTACGCGTGCAGCTATCGACGCGAGTGGGTCACTGTGACCTGACAGCGTCGGCGCGTGTACGCGGATGCTCCCGACTCCATTTACTGTAGGTGGGCTAACTCATGAAATGCCAACCGAAATTCCGAAATGCGTTTTTGTTTCCTAAAGATTAATTAAGTGGGGTTGTGAAACTAATCATCCTGTAGCATACCTCTATAATGATTCAGTTACCTCAGGATGCCGGCGTTCGAACTTCTTTCTGGCGGCCTGCAGAACCTATAATCTGTAAAAAATGACTGCAAAGTAGCATGCATTTTTCACGTTGATTCTCGCTGTCCTTTAAAATTCAATTATATTCCATGGAAAACATGCATAAAAATATTCATTCTTCTGTTCATTCGGTAGATAATTACGCCTTCTAATTTTATACTCGAAGGAGACACATAATTCGGTTTTAAAAAAGTTCCTAATTGTGGGAATTTTAAATACCATGAAATGGCCGTTCATCGATCGTCATATCTCTCCTTTTACCAGTGTGGCTTGTAAAGTTAACAATATAGATCAAATCCACTGCTTAATTTAATGAATCCTATATGGTCCCCCTTTATTACCGTAGAGAGATGCCCTTGAAAATTTAATTATATTTCATGGAAAACATGCACAAAAATATTCATTCTTCTGTTCATTCGGTAGAAAATTACGTCTCCTTTCAATTTTATTCTCGAAGGAAGGGTATGATTTAGTTTTCAAAAACTTTTCCGATCCCCGGATAATTTTGAACCCAACCTGCCGTTGCACTTGCCTTCTGGGTTTTAAAACTACAGGCCGTATATTTTCCGCGTACGGAAAACCATACGTTTCTCTACGGCATTAAGTGGACACCATATGCGGTGGATTTGAGCCATATTGTAAACTTTACAAGTCACATGGGTAATTGCAGAGACATGACGTTTTATGAACAGCCACTTCACGGCACGAAAAAATCTGATAATTAGACACTTTTTAAAACCGAATTATACCCTTCCTTGGAATATAAAATTGGAAGAAGACGTAATGTACTAACGAATGAGTAAGAGAATAAATATTTTTATGCGTGTTTGCCACTAAATATAATTGAATTTTTAAAGGGCATCGAAAAGCAATGGGGGAAAATGCATGCTAATTAAGTAGTCGTTTTTGCAGAGTATAGTTTTTGCAGGCTGCCAGAAAGAGGTTCATTCAAAAGCCGGCATCCTGGATTAACCGAATTATTATAGAATCACACTGCAAAATGATTAGCTTCACAACTCTACTTAATTACTCTTTTGGAAACGAAAGCACATTTAGGAATTTTGGTTGACATTTCATGAGTTAGCCCACCTACTGTTCGTACACTAACAGGGTCAGTGGTCGACCTGCATCAGTTTACTTATGTATCTAATGCTTTTTCTTCATTATTGTTCTACTAATTTCCCATTGTCCTTTCTGCCACCATTAATCGATCGCCGGTACGGAGATCTGAATCAAATCTTTTAAGCGCAATCATTCAATGCTGCGTGGTATAAATGATGATGTTGATGTTTATCATATCGATGATAACAGTGGGCGGACGCAGCTCTCATCTTGCGCAATGCACCAAAATTCGGGGATTACTGAGAGGTCTAAGTAAGTATGCCTCAGATGGAAACGGCTCCTACGGTGAGGGTGCAGCCGTGAAGGACACAGGACATCATTTCAAGTTAATAAATGCCTCCTGACATGAAAAGTTCCCTCTCAGCCATCTGCCAAAACACCGTTTACAAAAAGGATAATTTTTTGATGACTGGCATTTTTTGTTTTTTTTGCTTTAATACCTTCTTGTAAGGCCGGCGATCTTTCATGGCAGAATTCATACTGGTAGGAATTACTTGCCTAATGGGGATTTACAGTGGGTCATGCCCGTTTGCAAAGTGGCTTGTGTATACTACTTGTAATTAGTAAGTAACCGTTAACTATTACTCTTTTTTCGACCAGCTGTCCGCGATTATATATAAAATCCTTTTTCACCGACGACTGGTAACCAATAGGGGTTCAAAGGCGCTCGCCTATATTTCCCTTAATAAACTGAAACTAACGTAAATATTCTCACCATCCTAAAAAATTTCCGTCAACTCATCGAAATTCTCCCCTTACAGGCATTGAAAATAAGGAGGCCTTGCTTCACCACCGACAGTGAGTAGATCGGAATGGGTCACAACTCTACTGCAGAGAGTCCTTACCACCTGCTGGCAACCTGGGATGCAAGTGAGGCCTCCAAGCAAATTGCAGTGATGCTCCTTCTCACGATGGTTGTTCTCGAAAAATTTTGTTACCATCAACTGCGAAAGATCACAACCCTCATTCCAGAATCTCTGATTCTGATCCTGCTGGGCACACTCGCAGGCTACATCCTCAAGGCCATGCCCGAGCACATTGACCATGACACCTGGCGAATGACTCCGGAGACCTTCTTCCACTACCTCCTGCCTTGCTGCCTACTGGACGCCGCCTTCAACCTACATAATCGCGTGTTCGGAGACTGCATCGGCGCCGTTATCGCCTACGCTGTGTTGGCCACTGTGCTTAATATGATCTTGATAGGCGTCATAATGGTAGGCTTTGAGAACGCCGGTTTTTTTAAAGACAAACCAGTGGAGTACGGCGTGCAGGTACTTATGGTCTACGCCTCTCTCATTGTGGCAGTTGATCCGGTGGCCGTGCTTGCCATATTTCAGGAGATTGGTGTTGAGCTCAGTCTTTATTACTTAGTATTGGGTGAGTCTCTCTTCAACGACGCCGTCACACTGGTGCTCTACAAAATTACGTTTGGATTTCTACGAAAGAAAGATGTTACCACTCAGGACATTGCAATCGGAATTGGGGCATTTTTCACTATCAACCTGGGTGCTATCCTGATCGGAATAGTTCTTGGCATCGTGACCTGCCTCGTCACTCAAGTGCACACACACTTTGAGGTAGTTCTCGTCTTCCTCCTCGCCTACTATGCCTACGTTTTGGCTGATATTATTGGTTGGTCCGGAATTGTTGCCATGGTCACCTGCGGCATGATCCAGACTGCTTACGCTTTCCACAACCTTAATGAGGACTGTCTGGCAACTGTTCGTCTCCTGGGGAAGACCCTATCCGAGGTCTGTGAGGCCATAATCTTCCTTCTGATCGGCGTGCAGATTGTCAATGTGGAGGCTCTCTGGCACAACTCTTTCAACTGGTGTGCGTTGGCGTCCTGTCTGACAGTACGAACAGTTGTAGTCTTTTCACTGACAGCAGCCCTCAACCGTTTTAATGTAAATATCTCACAAATCACTCTCACGGACCAGTTCATCCTTGCGTACGGTGGACTACGCGGGGCTGTCGCGCTCTCTCTAGCCATCATGTTGGATACAAAGGAAGATGGGGAAGAAGCTCAAGTGGACGAGGAAGTCTATAAAAGCCTTGTCACCTCTACACTCTTCATCATCATCTTTACAGTCGGTGTGATGGGCCCCACGATGAAACCGCTAGTAAAGCTCTTTCGCGTTAAGCTTGCCGATCGTCAGACCATCAGCCTGGTGAGGGAACTTAATGAGAAGATGATTGATCAGCTGACAGCTGGAATTGAAGCCATCATCGGATCTGTGGGTCGGAACAGTCTGCGAGCCCTTTTTGTGCGTCTAGATAGCAAGTACATCCGACCCTTTCTACAGAAAAATCCGAAAACCTATAATGAGCGCATTGTTCAGGTGTATAAGGACATGGCACTGGTTCTGCACTATGCTTCTCTGCAACCCGATAAAGCGGCCACAATCATGGAGTCCTTGCCACTGACAATCTCCGAGAAGCACATGCGAGACCTAAATCGGGAGCACAAAAACACCTCAGCTAAGTGGAGGAGATATCAAAAGGATCATCCCTTCGCTAGCCCCAGGATTGGCAATATATTTGACAGCTCAGGGCGACAAATAGACTTTGGCGATAAATTGGCCCGCATAATTGACGACAAGAAACGAAGGGTCATGTCCATGACTGGTGTACAAGCGAGCCCGGCCTTGCAAAAGTTGCAAGCACTGAAGGGGTTTGAGCCGCTTTCTCCCACCCAACCCCCCTCGGGGTCATCAAACGCAGCGCAGCCATCCAAGGAACAGTAGCCTAAAATTAGACAGGCACCATTCAATGTCTCAGAATGATGGAAAACAAGTGCTTCTCCGCTAGAACTCCCCTTTACATGAGAATTCATTATGCGGAGTGGAGCTGGAGGCAAATAACTCCAGGTTTTTGTGTTTCTATGTCAGTTACTGTTCACTTTGAGCCAATCTCCGCTCTCCACCTCTATGGATTCGGAGTATGAAAAAAAGTTGGAGACATATTGACATTTTTCCTAGCGGAGTGGGGTTTGGACATATTTCGACGAGGATTGGATATGCAAGTCCATCGAGGAAACAAAGTCCACGAACTCCTGTAACACTAAATGTTGATATTAGCTCCATCAGTAGGGCAGATGGACGCGAAAGTTAACAAAATCTGCGGAAGATACCGCCAAAACCCGCATTTCCGTCACATGTTTGTTTCAATACTCAAACGAGGAGCCTGAATGATGAAAAGAAATGTGTGTAAGGGAGCGAAAAATAGGTAGGCCCAAGTTGCCGGTTAAGGAGGGCTTCGTTAGGTAAGACGACATGGTTCAGACAAGTTTATCCTTAACCCTTAACCTAAACCTAAACTCAGTCCTTACAATAAATTTAATTATTTTCTTAAGCTAAGTCAGAAACGTAATACTTATATAACGTGCCTACGCAAATCAAATAAGCTGACACGTTATGATAATAAAAACTAAGAATTATATATTTGATCGTCACCCAAAATTTCATTCAGAATTAGGTCAAGCTTAGTTTTTTCGACAATTCTCTTGGTAGTGACTGGCTGAACCTACGGCCCGTAGTCCAGTCGGGCAGCATTCCTGGGGGATGAGGCCTATAGGCATATTTTAGGTTATCTAGCGTGTCCGACTAGGTGCTGAACGCCTAGAGGTCCCACAAGAGAGGAGACAATTTATGCAATCATCCTGCTTTCCAGTTTCCGCGGCTCAAACGCCCTTCGCGCAGATCATATGGGCTAGCCTATGATCATCGCCTACTATGCCAAAGGCTGGCTGAACGATTAATGGCGACAGGTGGACGGTAAAGTGTTACGACCGTGCAACTTGCCATTACGAACCTATTAACGATTTGCCAGTTGCCCGTTAACTTGCAGGCAAAACAGAACGATAAATATACCTTGGTAGTCATTAACTGCAAGTGAATTAAGGCAAGGGAAATCCGCGCAACCTTGAGCTCACTCCGTTTTCACGCATCCATCGTGTTTTAGAAGTAAGGTAAGGACCAAACGACTGGACATGGACGCGGATACAATAGTTCTGAAGACTAAAGCTTAATACACACTTTAATTGACACTTTTTGTCCCCATACACAGGCAAACCCGAGTTTTAAGAAGTTATCGCAAATGTCTGACAGTGAGAGCCTGTCATAACGGCCGCAAGAAGATTAGTTCGTTATAGCGTGACATCAACTCTGGTTACCGTGGCAGTTGGCAAATTTTACAAACGCACAAATTTGTCTCAGGGTATCTTCTGACAATGTGAGCTACGTATTTCAATTGTCTCCACGAAAATATCTGCTGTGACAAACATCGTGGTACAGGCTTAAGTTTACTAGCTGTATAAATGTTAATCTAAAAAATTGATCTAGCTGGCGTTGGGCGATCGTCTGATTGCTACGTTCCTAGGTAAACTGTCCTGGTTCTCTGGCTAAAAATATCCCGGAGTATGATGAATTTCGCTTCCCAGCAGATGAGTTTTGGGGTTTCATAGTTGGCCTGACACAATATAGCCTTCTTTAGATTCTTCGATGCTACATCCTTTTACTTGCCTTAGTATTCACTTTACCTCGGGTTGAAGTGTCATGATTAAACAGTGGTTTTTGACAAGACACGGTAATACGACCTGCCCCCCTACTCGGGGGCCTTGCGTTAAATTCCAGGAAGATTAATGTTAGTTTTAAGATGAGGGTTGGGATTGAGGTTTGGATTCGGCCTGGTGGTAGAGTAAGGACACAGACATATTTACACTTCCCGCAATTTTGCGCATGACCACCACTTTTACCGCGGACCCTTATTCCCGTGCCTTACGTCCGCTTCGTGCTGGCACACAGATGCATCAGGGATATTTTTGTGCATGGAATTCTTGCGACAAGTTAAATTTCGACTGCATTTCTTAGATACGCATATTAACTCTTTGTCTATCATTCAGCTGTACCAACCCATGGCTGTGAACATCTCCAAATTTGTACACAAGGTAACAACATCGGCTAGAACCTGCTAAAACACTTGTTACATTCAGCTTTCTTTTCCGGTCGCATGATAATTTTACTTTGGTTTTGTGATTATGCACCCCAGAAACAGAATTTTTTGTTTCGTTGAATGATAGCGGATTTGCATGAGTAAATCTCCTCAACTTCATCGGTTTTTTAGAATCGAACATAAATTCCGAGACTTCAGAAACGTCACCGCATTTTCTGAATATCTCTACTCCGGTCTCATATTTTTATTTTATCGGACGCTAGCACGGTCGTTTTTGATGAGAATATGCCAGTAAATCTGGCTGTTTTTTCAGACACCAAAGTTATATTCCTGTTTTATATTACACCATTATCCGATTATCTGTAACCTAGATGAATGTATGTGGTAAAAAGCTCTGAAACTATCCTCTCGGCCTCAGGCATTAGTTAGTGGATAGAACACGAAGGGATAGATAGTACAAAATGCTTTGCTTTGTTCTCTGAACGCTTCTCGAAGATGACAACATCGACTTTGCTAATAGAATGCTTTACCTAGTTGGTTGTTCGTGCCAACGATTCCTCTATTCTGGACCAGAAGAGGGTTTGACTTGCTGCCTGCTTTCTTGGAGCTCGGGATACCAAAGACACACGTGCTCTCAAAAAGCAAAGTTTAGTTCCCGCCGTAATTTGTATAATAAATACGCATGATAGCGGCCAGAATTTTGGTTTTCGAACTTGTGGAAACGGACACCCAGCGGAGCTTATGTAACCTACAAAGAATTTAGTTTAGAAGTAACTTGTCTAAACATCTGGAACCATTTCACAGTGGGTTATGATTACTGAAAGTCGTTCAGAGGGGAAACATGATGCAATTATGGTGGCTGAAAGGATTTGAAGCTGAGTCTCAACATCGTGCAATTAAGTGGTGAGATCCGAACGCTTGCATTTCTTTTCTAATGTCAGTGTTTTGATGAGAAAAGCTGTGCAGTTTTTGAAGGCAAGGTGCAAGCTAAAATTAAATGGATGACGGAGGTGGAGAATGACGTATCTCATGGAATATTAATTGAAATTCTAAATGGTGTTCTTGATTAAAAAAGGCTACTTAGGTAGGACTGAAATATCGATTGTTATGCGGGAAAATCGTATTATGTTTCAGTCACGACTGGGTGCCAGTTTTTGAGTACTCGACTTTCTAATACTCAGTAAAGTCACTCGTTAGAGATGATTATTTAAATGTCACGACTTTCGCCATTCGCATTCGACGTTTTTATGGATACAAGTGTTGCTTGTAAAAAAATCCTCAAATATTCTTTCATCTACTTATCTTGTCTTAAAGTCCGTCTTTCGTTTGTTTGCTCAAAATGACATCTTTTGGATTGACATTTTTCTTCCCTTCTCGAGCAACTTCGAACTTGATTTGCCGTTAGATTTGCGTGTAGGGTTTTCAAGCAGCAAGCCTTACGCGTTGGCATATAAAACTCATAAAATTGGACAACCAGCTTGGACCACGCAAAGTACTTCAAGAGGAGCATTTCTAAACTCACAGATACAATGTTATTTGAATAGGCATTCCACGATCTTTGAAATCTTATAATTACCAGTTTCTTTGAATCGAAATACCCCAAATTCATCGGCTAGAAAATTAAAAAAGATGTGCTTTAAGTACAAAATAACTACGGGAAATGGTATTTTGTGCATGCCTAAATTAATTAAGACAGTAAAAACCCTGCCAGCACATTGCTCCTTCATAGATGGGACTGGGAAGGGGTTGGGTGGGCCGGAGTCCCCTCTGAATTGAAGCATTTTGAAGCGTATTTGCTTTGAAAGTTATGTTTCAAACGCACCACTCATTGTAGTTTCTTTGGCATAAAGGGAGCTAATTTATCAAAAGTGGCTTATAAATTATAAAAAGCGTTCGTTTACGCCCACGGGTCACGGATACTATCGTGCATCAACCAATGCTTTTTTCATGCTCTTGATAACTGCCTTAGTTAATTTATGTATTTTATGCTTACTGTTTTGATATTTACTCACCAGCCAGTTCAAGTAGTCGACTTGTATGCCTATGCATATACTATTTAGCCTTGGTGTTATGCTTATACAAATTGTTTATCGAATTGTATTAAATACTCATAGCAATTATGAAGCGTAATTACTGTGGCTATCGCCGAATCACCATATACAAGCGCGTTAAGCGCCAGGCGATGGCATATTGTGAGGCCACTGAAGAGCCTGAGTCTGAGGTTCTCCCAACGTCGACAGCAGTTGGCAATCAATCCCCGAACGAGAAATGCCTATACTGAGCTCTGAAACTTCTGCCGGTAGGTATTATGTGTGTGCGCCTCAGGGGACTTGCCATACAGATCGATATTTTAAAGGGCTGCCAAAAGTGAACGGAAATGTGGGGCCAGGCGGGGCTGTCGCGTAGAATGTCCCGCCACAGCCCCTTTCACAGCCCCGCCACTTTTGAGGGTGTTGGGCGGGGCTGGTGCTGGCAGAGAATTCATGTGAGAAATTCTGACCAATCATGTAATTACTTTAGAAAAAGTGTGATTTTCTAAGGCCTTCTAAAAGACGCGCATTTAAGAGCCGGCAACTTTTCGTGATTTTAATACCTGAGGACAAACTGCGTGTATCCTGAGTAGGCCTTCCCAACCGGGAATATACTTCAAACTTTCAGTTAATATTTCAAGAGCTACGTCAGTTTGCAGCGGCAGAGAATAACAGATGCTCATATCATGAGATCTTCGAAATGTTTAGCAAGAAATGTGCACACTACCAAAGACAATGATTAGGAAAAGTACGACTAATGCCCG